CTTGTTAGATATGCTCCCACAAGATTTCAGTATACTAGGACTTTGGATCAAATTGAATAAGATGAAATGTATTTCAGATAAATGTAAGTGATAACATTTGACTTTAAACTTTACTTCACAAGTACAATATGGGAGGGGGAGACCTGCCTATTAAATAATTAATTTTAAAAACATTTAAAAGTTTTAGTCAATTGCTGGTTCAATTTGAGACAACAGTGTGATGTGGTAGTAACAAAGGTTAATGTGGACACAGGGCAACATTAACAAAGGCATAATATACAGTAGTAAGGTAGTATTCATCCTACTGGAATTTGCTATGGTCAGATCATAATTTGAATATTGTGTTCAATTCTGGATCCCATAATTTATGAAAGCCATTGATCAGATAGAAAGTTTCCAAGTACCTCTACAGTTGTGAAGGGTCCTGAGAAAATTCCATATGAGGTTTGATTGGACAAGCTGGGAATGTTTAGGCCAGTGAAGTTCTTATTGTTATTTGTCCTTTATTCTTGAAGAGGACCATGACATCAGGGAGGTGATGTCATGATATGCAAGTGAATTGGATTAAAGTGAGGGAAGGCTGTGCAGTCAGTCACCAGCCAAACTTTCTCCTCTGGAGCTTCACTGGTGAAGAGAATAGACATGAAAGAATTGTAGGACTCTGCTTGTCACTAGAACTGGAGTTCTTAATGGGGTGTGTGTGTGTGTGTGTGTGTGTTGGACCCTTTTGATTGTAATGTGAAGCCTATGAACCCCTTCTCAGAATAATGTTTTCAAACAATCAAAGCAAAAGCTAAATTTCAGATTACTGAAAGTTAGGATGCATTTTTTTCCTTACCAAAGCTCACACACTCCCTGAAATCTAACCATGGGCATGTTGAGAACAAATAAGAAATTTTCAAAGGTGCAAATTCAGGTTAGAAGCAGGAGAAACTTCTAAACTATTACAGCTATCTAAAAGTAAAATGCACTATCACAGGAGTTAATGGTTTCCTTTTCACTGGAGATCTTCTAGGGAAGCTTGACAGACCACGTGTTCAATGTTTTAGAACTGGATTAGATGGTATTTGAGATTTCTTTAAGTGGTAGGATTTTATGATTCTGTACCTTTCCAGACCCATCTCAAATTGGTATTTTTGATTATACTAACTCAGCCTATACACAAACCATTAATATTTCTATAATTCTTTACGTATTTATTTGTCTGAAAAGTGTTTTGTAATTGTGTTTCTGTAAGTATTTTAAAAGGAATTTCCTTTTTTATCTCTTCCGGCTGAGTTTTGTTGGTGACATGCAGAAATACAAATGATTTGTATGGATTTATTTTATATCCTGAAACTTTGCTAAAGTTGTTTATCATTTCAGCTATTTATTTTCATTGATACTCTATGGATATCTAAGTTATGTTGTTATATGCAAAGAAGGATAGTTTTGTTTCCTTACTGCTTATTCTTATTCCTTCGATTTCCTTTTTTTTCTTGCTATAGCTAGCATTTGTAGTACAATATTGAATAACAATCATGACAATGGGCACCCTTGTTTCACCCCTGATCTTACTGGGGAGGCATCTAGTTTATTTCTGTTAAAGATAATTCTTGCTCTTGGTTATAGATAGATACTACCTATCATTTTTTGAAAAGCTCCATTTATTTCTATGCTTTAAAGTGACTTTATTTTTAATAATATTTTATATTTTCTCAATTACATGTAAAGATAATTCAATTTTTAAAAATTGTGAGTTACAAATATTCTCCCTCCTTTCCTCACATCCTCCTCCCCCAAATGGTTATCAATTTGATGGAGGTTACATATATGCAATAATGTAAAACATATTTCCATAATAGTTGTATTGTGAAAGAAAAATAATGATAAAAAAATGAAAATAATATGCTTCACTCCACATTCAGACTCTATCAGTTCTTTCTCTGGTTGTGGATAGCATTTTTCATCATAAATACCCTAGAATTGTAGAATCCCTCTCTGACCATGTATACAGTCCCTTTAGCATCTCTAGGTGGTATGGATCCCCAATACTTTTGCTCCTGCTTCTGCTGAAACCTCCATTGCATATACTTGGTGTCACAGCATTGCTTCATTATTAACCATCCTCCAACCCAGTGCCAGAGACTTTTCCTTCTGATTTACTAAATTGTCCTGGGCTGAAAAAATATCTCATGCTGTCATTTGATTGGTTATGTCAATTTTAGAATTTGATTTGATGAGTTATTTAAAGTTGTTTAGAAAGGAATGCTGAAAGAGGTCAGCTAGAATGCTCCCTTTGTCCTGCCATCTTGGTTCTGCCATCTGCTGGCTATTTCAAACTGGTTGTTCTATGGCATATAAAACACAAAATATTAAAAATAATCCATTATCTTTCCCCCATAATCCACTCCTTTCCCAAATTTCCTTCATACTATTGTGGATACCATAATTTCCCCAATCACTAAGATTTAAAAACTGCATTATCCTCAACTTTTAACTTTTGTTCATCCCACATATCCAATTCAGCGGCAAATATTGTAATGTCTACTTTCATAATATCATTTCTTTATGTTTCCTTCTCTCCAAATAGCCACCACCTTATTTATTGCCATCATATCTTCTCATCTGGACTATTCCAATAGGCTTTTATTCACTCTCCTTGACTCTAGCCTTTCAACACTACAATCTATCATTTACAAAAAATGCCAAAGGGATTTTGTTAAAGTGTAGGTCTGATCATTTCACTCCTCTGTTTGGTAAGCTGTATTCTCTCTCTCTTACCCTGAGGAACATATATGCCATCATTTTTTGGTAATTGAAGCCTTTCACCACCTAGCTCCTTCATAACTTTCTAGCATTCTCATGCTTTAACTAATCTCCACATAGTCTACAACTAGTAATGGACTACCTGCTGCTCCTCCCAAATAGCATTCTTTCTGCCATCTGTGAATTTTCAGTGGCCATCTCCCATGACTGGAATTTTCTCCCTCTTTACCTCTTTACCTTACACCCTTGGTTTTTTCAAGTCAAAAATAAAATGCTAATTTTTGTTGGAGGACTTCCCGTTTCTATCCAGTCACCTGATCCTTCCCTTCTAAGATTATCTTATTTCTGCTATGTATCTAGGCCATACAGACCTATTTAGTTACATATTTTCTCCCTACCCCTACTCCATGTAAGGTTTCAGGGCATGAACTATTTTGCATATCTGCCTTTATTTGTATCCCTAGAACTAAGCACAATGCTTGTGACACAGTAAGCACTTAATATATTTTTAATGATTGATTAATATCATGTATGAATCATTTGAAGGAACTGGGGATATTTGGCTTGGAAAAGAAGGAAAAACTTGAAGAGGATGTGATGATTGTTTTCAAATATTTGAAGGGCTGTCATGTAAAAGATGGAATATTTTTTTTTCTAGGTCCTAAAGGGCAGAACCAACAGAAAAATATTTTAAAGTTGTAAGAGGCAGATTTAGGGTTGGTATGAAGACACATCTCCCTATGGCTAGAACATTCTAATACTGAAATCATCTGCCTCTGGAGTAACTTAGTTGAGTTCAACTAAAGTAATAAAGTTAATTTATAGTAAACTCAGAAAGAAATATAACACTCCAAGGAACACAGAGGCATTTTAAGAAACCTTTAATGGAAAAGCTTTGTAGGAGGGTCTATCTTACTTAAATAGCCAATTGATATTTTTTTTCTTTTTTTCTGAACTTAGTTAGCTGTAACATAGATACATCACCAAAAGCTAAGAATCAACTGGAAGAAAAAAAAATGTGACCTTTAATATAGAGCTCATGTATTTGTTGATGCTTATGGGGTATGTCATAAGAGCAATTCTTGTTCAGGTATGAGTTGGACAACCTGGTCACTAAAGACACTTCCAATTTCCAAATTCTGTGATTCTGTGTGGAATTGATTTAAATTTTGTTTGATGTTCTCACTCATAGATGGAATTTTTTGTTTATTTTGGGATGAATTACATCATATTTTATAGATTTTTTTTTTACTACATGTTGGCTTATACAAAGAGGGTATCTGATACTATATCACAATTAGGAAGTATCTGAAAGCCCACAACCTGAATATTAGAAGAAAAGGATAGGGGATATTTAGATTACTAAGTCCAAATCCAGAGACTTTATCCTCAATCTTAAATTTCCCACATTTCTACCCACGTGTCTTTATCAAAATCTAGTAACTGAAATATGCTCACTGTTTTTAATATTAGATCTTCAGTATAGAATGCAATTATTTTTATAGCCTCAGCTTTTAAAATGCATAGGTTTTTTAGACTTTTTGACGCATTTGACCCATTTTAAAATATCTAAATTTTAAAATAGTTCTCATAACATGTTCTCTTCTGCCAGAAGCCTCACATGCACTAGGAGAATTCTACACTTGTTATTTGGAGGATTCTTTAATAGGTTGATGTATATGCCTTTATATTTCTGAACTTTACAGATGATATGAGTATGAAGCACTTCACATGATAGATGGATTTAAACAAAATTTTCATCTATTAAACATACACAAATTTTCATTCTTCAATGGAATTATGTAGTTGTTTATTCATTTAATCTACCCATCCCATCTGTTGATTTTTCTATCTTAATTTCTGTTTCTATATAACAGTATAATATTCCTGCAGAGACTATGGAATTTGTTTGCTTTGTTTTTCAATTCATAGATATGGGCATAAATAAGGAAATGTATGTGTGGTACTGAATACTTTTATAATAGGTCAAATGTCAGATGGAGACTAGTAAGCTGGAAAAGTCTTCTATGTGTCTGAGTGTCTTGTTTCTAGGCCTTGATCTTTCTATTTTTTCTTCTATTTAAAAATCATTGTTCTATCTTTCTGCATATTATCACTACTGCTATTCTTTGTGCAGATGTTTGCTTCTTTTCTGGCTACCGTGGTGATAAAGCACAGATTGGGATCACCTCTTATTTGATACAAACCCAGCCTACCTATTATGAGACCATTTCTTATCAGTCTTCACTCACCTTTTCTATCTGCACAAGTGAGCAAAAATTCTTCAGTTCTGTCCATCAACTACAGAAATGGGACCAAAGCTCAATCCTTGCTTTCCTGCATAACACAGAGACAAGACATTGATTCTATTGTAAGACATAAACCTGAATCACTTGTTTCTGTGGGAGTGACAGTGATATTCATGAGTAGATAGGATAGGGGAGGATTCCTAACACTGTTAGTCAGCAGCCCGTGGTTTGAACTATCTTGAAAGCATTCCTAGAAAAGAGTCACCACTTTAAAAATAACTTGCTCTGTGTTGTTGTATAGTATTAGCTAGGTTCTACCTACCCCAGCCCTTTACTGGCAGTTGGTAGGAAATGGACTGATTCTCTTATTAAGCATATTTTCAGTTGCCTAACTGCCAATGCTTCTCTTCCCCATAACCATGCGTAGCATTCATGACTTCTTTGTGCTGGCTTGCTGCATGATAGCTTATGCTCCAGCATGTACTTGCCAAGGGCAGCATGACTTGTGCCTGGTTCACCCTAGTTGTCATTCACCCTGGTCCCTAGTGTCTGCCAGTGTGAATGTGTATATCTAGGGTATCAGTGATGCATTTTTGACATCTTCTGTAACTCTGAACTTGCTATTTGAAGCTTTTGCTTCAAATAGGAATGCCCTCTCTTCATGAATTTTACCCTTCACTTCTTTTTTAAGTTGTGCCTGGCAGATATTTTGGATAAAGAATACTAAAGCCAACAATGATGAGTTTCATGGGTGAAGCTTATCTTAACCAAACACTAGGTCTAGTACCCATGAATAATATGGACAAAAGCATAAGCAGGAGAAGAGAGAGCTACAGAAAAGCGGCTCTCGCTGAACTAGACAATTTACTGCTTCCTGACCTGAACATCCCTCCAGAATCCCAGTTCCACACTGGGGAGAGCAACAGAAGAACACAAAAGCTCCTGCTTATGTTGCCATGAAAACATTGATTACATTTGTTTTCTACTACATCACGTGCTGTAGGTCTCTTGCTCGCTCCACTACTTTTAATAGTCACAAAAGAATAATCAGTCCTCTTATTACTCCTTGGTCCCTTGACACAATGCAGGGAAAGCTGAGAGCTGGGTAATGTTTTACCAGTCTAGCCTGACCAGTCATTTCTTAGAAATTAGTTTTGCTGAACATGCTACATGTTGTCTAGGCAACATAGCTGTTCCTCTTGGAACCAGGGAATTGTGCTGTGTTTAATGAATAACAAAAGAAAGGAACACAGAATTAACTGTATTCTCTTTTTTAAAGAGGTATTTGACCCTATGAACTGGAAGTATTCAACAGGTTTAACTGGTTTCTGTATCAGGTGCCTGAAGCATGTTAAGAGGATTGGCCCCGGATGAAAAGAAGTAGCTGTTTTGATACAAATGTAGTTCCTCTTTCTCCATCCCATACTGCTGTTGGTGGGCCCACCTCCAAAAGTGTCCATCCTATGCCTGTTCAATGCTACTGACATATTGCCTGAACCCTATCCCTCCTCTGGGATTATCAATCCAAACTTCTTTCCTCTACCTAGCTAATTACAGCATAGCCCCAGCAGAAGCAGGAGGACTAGATACAGAAGCTTCCTTAAAGACTGAACATATCTCTTATTAGAGTGGATCTTTGCTTGCTTTACAAATTATGTGGGAAGATGACTTACCTAGAACATCCAATCTATGCAGTTTCCAGCCCTAGCTTCTTCCCTGGGTAGGCCACAGATAAGACCAACTGGAGATAAAGATGTAGAGGAACCACAGAACAATTGAGGAAGGTGGGAATGTGACTTGGGTAGGAGGAAGAGAAATCCAAGTAGATGCTAAAGGGATAGGAACTGGGAGGGGGTTGAGAGAAACAATATCTTGATACAAGCTGACATTTTTGTCCAACAGCTACTGAAAGCAAGAAGTTAGCCCAAACTGTGAGAAGAAGAGAATTTACTGAATTGGGTGGAGATGCAGTTATGGTCAGACTTGGTGAGTGGAGAATGCATTGGAATTTGGAAAGACTTGAAGCAGAGATAGTGCAATAGTCCTGGTGTGAAATGATGAGGGTGTAGAATAGGATAGTAGTTGTGTAAGAGGAGGTAATGGGGCACATATGAGACATTCTGTGGAGGTAGAATCAACAGTACACGGTTGGAGATTGGGTCTGAAGGTGGGGTAAGAATGAAGAGTAGAGGATGACATTTTAGTTGTAAACCTGGGTGACTGGGAGAATGGTGCCCTCAACAGTAACAATAAAATTATGAAGAATGAAGGGGCTAGGGGGAAATAAAATTAGTTCAGTTTTGGGTGTTAAGAAATATCCAAGTAAAGATATCCAGCCTCAAGATGGTATTGTAAGTGCCCACTAAATTGCCTACCATAGGAAGAAGCTCTTAGTGACCCTAATGTAGCTGTAGCTAGAAATAATCAGAGGCAATAGTAGAGTCTGAAGTAGAATCCAGGACAAATCAAGATTGCAATTAAATTTAGGTAATTATCAGGAAGCAAGATTTCAATGAAATATATTAACCAGGGCTGATCAACAGGATACTGGGCAAGGGATATAATAATTTGTCTCAATATTTAATAATTCTATGAATGCATAAATGGATTCTGGACGAGGCATTCCATTCAGCTAGAGAGCTCTAAGTATTCTCCTTGTCTCCCATGGAAAACTTGACCTTTTGCAATAGTGACATTTTTGCTCACTATCCTGGTAATTAAGGGAACTAAAATATTTTAAACCAGCAAGGTGATAAATTCAAAGGTGTTTTCTGAAATCTTAAACTATGTCGGTAATTCAGGAGATAATGCAGGTCTTGCCTGACAGCTGACTTAATTTCATTGAAAAAACATTTCTTATACTAAATGACTTTCCCAATGGAATGGGATTTCCAAAAACTAATCTAATTCTATCAAATTCAAAACATCGTCAAATGCCCTCATCCTAAATCTTCTAAAGAAAGCTAGTTACTATAGCAACTATGACAGAAGTATCAAAACAACACTAAAAATAAAAAAAAAACACCCCTAGCACCGCTCCAATCATTTGGCAAACAAAAATACAAACAAAAACTGGTGGATTTATCTTTTGGATAAAATAATTTTTTTCCAATCAACCTTATTTAAATGTATTATATATATTTTCCTCAAATTAATCTCACATGTGCTACACATATCATATATATGTATGTGTGTGTGCGTGTGTGCGCGCGCGTGTGTGTGTGTGTGTGTGTGTGTGTGTGTGTGTGTATGTACAAGTATGCCTTTTGTTGTCTATCCATATCCCTTCTCCTAGCTAACCCTATCTTGGTCTAGACTTGGCCTGAGAAAAAACTAAACTTAGATCATTTTGATACCTTTCATCAGTGAAACTGACAGGAGGAAATCAAATAGATCTAAGATGTAATAGATCTGCTAACATTTCATGACAACGTATTTTCAGAGGAACCATTGAATTTGAACTTTTTTCTCTTCAGAGCCTAATGTTTTGTGTGCCAAAATGGTGATGACTATTAAGAAGATGAAGTTAAAAAGAATATATATACCTGACTAAATACATACAGAAGACATGCACTTGGACAAAACAAAATTAAATAGATTAGATCAATTAAACACAGACCACATAATTGTTGAAGGTGTTATAAGATGAAATCTCAAAAGATTTATTAGACAAGAGAACAGTAGCAATTTTGTTCAATGACCCTTAACAACTTCAAGCAAAATGTAAAAGAGGGAAACATGCTCACCAAAGATATTTGCCACAATCATGGAAGATGCTCAACACAGATTCCAAGTGGAAAAGGGATTCATTATTGGTGGTGTGAGCCTTCAGCTGTTCCAGTTTCTGGATAACATTGTATTAAATGCATGAAGATACAGAACACAAAGCCTCCAAAATGATATTTAGAATTATTAAGAACAATTCATTATATCTACAAAAGACAAAGGAAGTGGATGAAAAATGGCCATTGTTGAAACTATGTTGTATGAACAACTCACATACCTGGTACATTGGTTCACGTTTCTTAAATGAACTCTTAAGATATACAATTAAGTGGGACCTGAAGGGTAGCAGCATTGCCTTTGGGAAATTATACTGGGTTTTGAGTTATTTCAAATTCTCCTTGAAACAAATATCCATCTTTTAAATAACAATATTCTGATGATAATAGTTCATGGTTATAAATCATGGAATTAATTTTATTGTTACCCTTGAAGACAATGTGAAGACACATAGTGGTTATAAGTAGACTGCAATGTATTAGCAATGAAGAATTGTATAGAAGTGAAAAAAATACTATCATCAAAGGAACATGATCAAGAAAGGAAATAGGCTGGTCATGTAGTAGGAAGTAAAGGTAATCAATAGACAACTTGTGTATTCTCTTGGTGTCAATGCCATATTAAGAAATTCAGACAATCCTTCTCCCTTTGGGGTTGCCTCCTTTTGGAGGATTTATAGAATGGAATGGACAAAAAAAAGAGCAGTTTGAGAAGGCATGATTAAGATGTCATTATTAGAGGCAGTACACACATATTATTAAGACTACCTCAAAATATAAAATAGGTTTTGTGTGTGTTTTTTAAATGTAAATATATGCACAATACATATATTTATGTACATATATACATATATTCTTTTCTATATATGAATGTACAAAATATCCATTCATTTTATATATAGTTATTTTATATCATATATGCTAATATATTTATATATTCTTTTATACTTCCACAAATCTGTGACCTCATCAATGTGAGTAGTATTTCTACTGATGGCAGGAAACAAGGCAACCACGTCTTCTCAATAATGGTAATTTTTTTTTGCATGTGTTGCAAATCCTTCTCAGGAGCTCACCCAACTTTATACAGTTCTTCCTTTTACTGTCTTGAGATGAGGTGGATACTAGTGGAGTGTGTATGTCATCCATCATCTATGCCTTGCCCTTAGAATCTTTTATCTGTCATACAACTTGCTTTTGTATTGCTAATTTTGTTCATTTCTTGGCCAATAACTATTACATTCCCCTCATACTCACCATGTGCCTCCCCAATGCTTTTCGAACAACTTTAATTTTCACAGACTGTAGTCCTCTATGGTTCCTAGCCATATGATATCACTGGAAAATATTAGTATTAAACAGATGGACCTTTGTTTCAGAGGAAAACTTGATGGTAATAAAAGCACTAGGCAAATTCCCAAAGGCAATGCTTTTCTCATTCAATCCCAGGTCCAGTGCATTGTCTGCATGTAGGATCTTTCTAAGTCAGATGTACTAATGGAATATTTCTATGGGATTTCTTTATAAAATATTGGTTATTGTTTATATTGTCATGTCATTTTACGAAAATAAATACTTAGAAGGGGCGGAGCCAAGATGGTGGAGTGAAAGCAGTGACTTGATTGAGCTCTCCCCCAAACCTCTCCAAATACTCATAAAAAACAGCTCTAAACAAATTCTGAAGCAGCAGAACCCACAAAAAGACAGAGTGAAACAAATTTCCAGCCCAAAACAACCTGGATGATTGATCAGAAAGGTGTATCATGCTGGGGTGGGAACACAGCAGCACAGTACAGCATGGGCTCGCAGGCCGCAGCAAACCTGGAGCAGGCCTCAGAGGACTTAATCGTGGGCAGCTGTGGCGGTTTCCAGACTCCTCAATCCACGAATGCCAAAAACAACTAAGAAGGTCAATGGGAAAAGTCTGTTTCTGTCTGTACTCAGAGAAGAAGGCGGGTTTCAGCTCCATTCCCCAAGAGCATGGCCCCCGGGGGAGGGGGAAGGAGGGGTAGCTGCTTCCCAAGCTGTCAGCCCACAGACTGAGGCGGAATCCAGTGGCTGATCAGAGAGGGATTGCAGGTATCTCTTTGCTGGTGCTGAGGCAGGAATCTCTTGCTTTGCCTGTGTTTGGATCTGGGTCACAGTTCTGGGCAGTGGTGCTGGGCTGAGGAGGAACACTGGAGTGGTGGAGCTTGTAGTGGCTGAGAAGAGAAATATCTCCTCACAGTTACAGTACAGAAAGGAGTACTTGTAGTCACAGGCCAGGAAAGGATTAAACACCTTGCCCCTTATCATACCAACTTATAAGAACTGAAAATTTACAGGTTCCTACAAGTATCTCTGAAAACAGCTATACAAACCCCTGAAGCT